AAAAAAAAAAAAAAAAACACCAGCTCCGCATTGCAGTTTGTTGTCGCTGGTCGTTCCGGGTGTTTCCACACACGCCATTGAATTTTACGTCTCGCTCTTTTCCCCCGCACGTTAGAGCAGACGCGCTCCCCAGCTGTGGTTTCCTGTACCTCCCGCTCCATCACTTGGTGCCCACGCACGGCGATAGGCTGTCGCTAGTCATTCCCGGGCGTCTAGCCTCCAAACCTTCAGCTGCAGAGAGCGCTGTGCGTTTTCGGCTTTAATGGGACGCTTCGTAGTCTAATCTTCCCATCTCCCCATCAAAGCTGGAGAGAGAGAGAGGGAGGGGGGCGCTCCCTCCCCATCTTCGGCGGAGGAACAAATGCTTCCTCGTCTTCGGCGTCCTTCGCTCTGTCTGGAGACAGGAGAGCGGCATCAGTGTGTATTTAATTACAGCTCTGTCTCTTCTGTCGGACATCCGTCCTCGGTTACCCGCGTGTGTCTGTCTTCCTTGAGTGTGGGGACCATACCCTAGAGCGTTGACTCTCTCGTCCGATCAGCCAACAGAGAAAGTTGGCACCAGGGCTGTGGCTCATTAACCGATGGGCAGCATGGCAGTGGGGCATCGAATGCCCACGGTAGAGTAAGAATCCGCCAGATGTGACTCGGCTGATTGAAGATCGTAAGTGCTCAGAGAAAGAGGAGTTGGTTTAATCCAGGGGTCATGGGGCGCCCGGGGAAAGCCAGCCTAGTGGACCGCAAGTGAGGAAGTCTCTGGATCTCCAAGGCCCCAGAACCCCATTTTGACTCGTTCCTGCTGGGACCTGTTTTCACGTGTAACTCCCCTGGCCAGTGTCTCGGCCGAGAACAAGGCCTTCAGGCTGCATCCGTGGCAGACCACAGATACACAGTCGTCAGTCTCGAACGTGGCCTTGAGTTTAGAGCCGGCCAGCAAGATCCCACCGTGTGAACTCTGAGAAGGAGGCAACAGTGGGGAAGGGAGGTGAATTTACCTGGTGGAGACGCAGCTCCCCTTGGCAGTGAGATTTTCAGTGGGAAAGAGCTGACTCGGCCCAGCCAGGCTTACTTCCTAAAATGCCTGCTTATTGCGTGGTTAGCTCTACTCTTACCGCGGGGACTCCCAAGCTGGGTGCAGGGGCTGTGGGGAGGAAGCCAATTATGGACGTTCTCTTGTGTCCCCCCTTCTCTTGTTGGCTCTGTTGGATCTAGACGGGCTGGGGTGGCCAGGGGAGGGCGCGGGCCTCCGAAAGAGTCACGACCTGTGGCCCAAACCCACAGCCCGGGTTCCTGGCACCTGAAACTTCCAGCACCTCGAAGGCAGAACTAACAAGGAAGGTGTAGAAAGTCAGGCGAGATCACAGGTTCCAGAAGGAGCTTTTCTGATACCTCTGATAAGAGTCACGGGAGGGGCTTTTCAATCCTTCACTTTCAAGCCCTGCCCCTGGAGATTCAGATGCCATGGGTCTGGCAGGGGAGACTAACGAATGCATACATATTTTTTTTTAATGTTTATTTTTGAGAGAGAGAGAGACAGACAGAGCATGAGCAGAGGAGGGGCATAGAGAGAGGGAGACACAGAATGGGAAGCAGCCTCCAGGCTCTGAGCTGTCGGCACAGAGCTGGACGTGGGGCTTGAACTCACAAACTGTGAGATCATGACCTGAGCCGAAGTTAGATGCTTAACCCACTGAGCCACCCAGGCGCCCCAACAAATGCATATTTTAACAGGGAAAACATTGAGTGGTGAAGGCATCATTTGGGAGATTTGAAAAACACTCTAGCCCACCCAGCAAGGAGGCAAAAAACTGAAAGTTGTGGGTCTTTGGAGGGGGAGGCCACTTCAAGCTGAGGAGAAGAGAATAACAATACCCCATAATTCTACTTTTAAAAATTTTTTAACTTTATTTACTTATTTTAAGAGAGAGAGAGAGCATAAGGGAGCAGGGGCAGAGAGAGGGAGAGAGAGAATCCCAAGCAGGGCTTGAACTCACAAACCGTGAGATCGTGACCTGGGCACTTAACCAACTGAGCCACCCAGGTTGCCCCGTCCTACCCCATAATTCCTAAGACAGCTGCTAGCACGGTCTTCGGCATCAGGAAAACCGAGGTTTGAAACCCGGCTTTGCCGTATGACCTTTCAAAGTTAACTTAGTATCCCACAGCTCATCCGTACAAGAGGAATAATTTGTCCCCAATGAGGTCGAGAAAGAATAAAATGAGGTAATGGGTCAAAAGCATGTAGCACATGCCTGGCACGTTCAGCACTCAACAAAGCAATCAAAAATAAAATGATATTGGGGCCTGGGGTGGCTCTGTCAGCTAAGGGCCCGAGACTTCAGGACCTAAGAGACTTCGGCTAAAGTCATGCTCTCATGGTTCATGAGTTTGAGCCCCACATGGGGCTTCCTGCTGTCAGGACAGAGCCCGCTTCGGATCCTCTGTCTCCCTCTCTCTCCACCCCTCCCCCGTTCTCTCTTTCTCTCTCTATCTTTCAAAAATAAATAAATATTCAAAAATAAATAAATAATAAAACGTTATAAATTTCACTGTTATTACGGCCAAGGCACACCGACGGGCTTTGTGTCTTTTGTCACCACCTCTCCTTCTCCTCTCTCACCTCCCTCACTTATAATCGAGGGGACATTTTGTTGTGTGACGGGACTGGCAGAAACGAATACAGCCACGGGAGCCAAGAAAACTCACAAGCCAGTGTCAGGATCGAAGCACTCACCCTGCCCTTTCCAGCAAGATTAGCGAAAGGCTCTAAGAATAATTGCCAATTACCTGATCATTCCCCAGATCAACGGAGTCAGGGCTGGACGCCCTGACAAGTCTGACCTGGTCTGGTTGCCCATTTGACACGGACAGAGAAAATGGAAGAGACCACGAAAGCCACACAATTATGCTAGGGAGCAGCGGCCAAGAGAGCAGCGCCCTCTGGACCCCTCCCCCCCCACCTCGGGATGTAGCCACGCTCTGCACATGGAGCCACAGCTGGCGCTTGGGAGCCAGGCGTCCTGACCCCCACCTTCCTCTCTTTTTGCCCCTTCACCTTTTTCCCATTGCGTGGTCTGCAGAGATGGTCGATACCAATCCGGTGATAAAAGCGACCGCGAACATGGAAAAGCACAGCTCTTGAGCCGACCCACGTCTGATCTAATCCTATGAGGCAGATGGGGAAGCTCTATCACCCAGAAGAGGCTTGAGTGGATTTGCCCAGGCTCGGGTAGCTAGGGACGGTTGACGGCAGGATTCGAATCCAGGTCTAACTCGGAAGCCTCGATGCTTCCCACCTTTGGACCAGGAAACCTGCCTGGCCCCGAACGACCTTGATCTGCCCTCAGGTCACCCGCGTACCCTGTCCTCCCGTCCCCAGGCCAGTTCCTGCCCCGCGACTGTGAGCCCAGGATGCACGCTGGCTGGTGATCAATGTTACACAACAGGGACATTTGTCGATGACAGTTGCAAACTGGCAGTCTGTACAGATTGAGCCACAGCCGCTGACACCCTGAAAGCAAATGAGCCTTTCCAAAGGCTGTGAGGAAATACATTTAAATGACAATGCTTAAGGGCCCAGAGACTGTGGCTGAGGGAGTGTCCGGACAGCTATCAGTCCTGGGGCTCCTCTCCCCGGGTGTAACCCCTCTCTACCTCGAGATCATCATCATCGGTAATGTTCCGGCTGCTCTGGTTTCCTACCAAAGGGTGCCATCGGAGTGACAGCAGTAAGACAGTGACAGGAGCTGGCACGTGCTAGGAGCCCACCGTGGGCGAGGCACCCATCCGTCCATGCGTGCCTGTGTGCTTTACATGCATCAACCTACTGAACAATGACGGTCCTGGGGCACAGGAAGCCATCGCCCCATTTTACAGCTGGGGACACGGAGGCCCGGAGAGGTTAGAGCCAGGCGCCAGCTTGCCATGGACAGAAGTGGGTCTCGGGTAAATGCGGTGGATTTCAGACATGAATCTGCCAAACGGCTGCCAGGGCCAGCCCCTGTTTAAAATTACCAAGTGGGTTTGCACTCAAGGCAAAAATAAATCACAGAAAGTTATCAGCAGGGTATACACTGCCCGCCACGGTCTGGCCCCGGCCACCCCATGTCTCCAGCTTCCTCTCTAGTCACCATCTGCACCCATCATAGTCCTCTTTTGTGCCAGGCCTCCATGGTCTTCCTGCTCTGAACCCGTCTCATGATTCAAAATCTTCAACTCTTTCTGTGTCTCCCACAAGGTCAGTTTTTAATGATTTAGTGTAAAAAAAAAAAATAAAAGTGACCCCCCGCCCCCACCTCCTCAATCCAGTGCAATGTAGCCTTGAACCAGGGCACAGGGCTTCGAGAAAAGAGTGGGTTTGTTACAACCCCCACTCATCCTTCATGGCACGTCCTTGTGCAGTGAACAAGCTGCCCAACTGTACATGGTGGTCCTGCCCCACAGACTGAGTTAGAGGCCTGTTCTCTCTGCCCTATTAGCATGCAAAGCTTTTGTCTTTCTAAGCATCTGTCACACCAAATGTGACCATTTCTCCTTTCCTGTTACCCCTCCCAGCACATTACACAACTAGTGTGTGAGACTCTTGCGCCCCTGGTTTCTGTAACCCTAATGCTTAGCTCGGGCCTGGCAGGATCAACCCTAAGTCTCCATTGTCAGCCAAAGGAAGAAAAGAAGGGAGCAGGAGAGAGAGGAAAGGAAAGGAAGGAAGGGTCAGGAGACCGGGAAGAAGGCAGCCCCGCCCCCATATCTGTCAGGGGGCTTGGCAAGCTCTGGGCCGCCACCTTAGGCCGCCAGCTCAGGAGGCGGAGGAGCCGAGCCAACCCCCATCCCCGGCCCCAAGCTAACAGGCGTCTTTTCTCCTCTTCCCCAGATGTGCCCCAGGAAGGAGACGCTGGCCCTTCAGGTGCTTCCCTTCTGCCCTCGGGAGCACTAGAGAGCAGCAGTCTGAGCAAAGAGAGCCGCCAAGAGAGAGTGACAACGGCCCCTCCGAATCCAGCGCAGTCAGGGGAAGATCTCAGCGAGCCAGGGCTGCAAGGGACAGCCCCCTCCGCCGCTCTGTCCACAGCGCTGCCCGAGGAGGCCGCCACCAAGCGCGTCCTCCCCTCCGGGAAGAGGCTGCCTTCTCTCAAGCAGGTGAACTCGGCCAGGAAGCAGCTGCGGCCCAAGGCCACCTCCGCGGCAGCGGTCCAGAGGGCTCTGTCCCAGCCGGCATCCTCCGGCCCGGGGCTTCTCTCCTCCGCCACGGAGAAGCCCCGCCCACCGGGGGACCCCGAGCCCGCAGCCTCCGAGGAGCCACTGTGGCTGGACCGGAAGGCAGGTGCGGACCCCACGACGCCCGCGCCCCTGCAGATCTCCCCCTTCACCTCGCGGCCCTACGTGGCCCACACGCTCCCCCAGAAGCCAGACCCTGGGGAGCCCTCCGTGCCTGATGACCCCCACGAGGCTCCCCCCGAGGACGCTAGTCCCATGACCTGGATGGACAAAGGTGAGAGCGAACTGACCGGCTCAGCCTCCGAGGAGAGCCAGGAGACCACGACGTCCACCATCATCACCACCACGGTCATCACGACTGAGCAGGCTCCAGGTAAGCAGCCCCCAGACGCTCCAGCCCTCCTGCGGCAGCCGGGAGGCACCCACTGGGTGCAGAGCAGGGGGGGTGGGGGAGGGAGGCGGGCCAGGGAGGTCCAGGCCCCACCGTCATTTGCCACCAATGGAGCCCTGACTGTGAGCTTGACCCTGTGGCTCAGAATTAATATCCCCATTTTAAAGACCAGACGACAGGGGCGCCTGGGTGGCTCCGTCGGTTGAGTGTCCAGCTCAGGTCACGATCTCGCGGTCCGTGGGTTCGAGCCCGGCGTCGGGCTCTGTGCTGATGTCTGGGCAGGCCTGCTTCCTTCTGTAATCTCCCTCACTCTCTGCCCCTCCCCCACTCATGCTCCGCCTCTCTCTGTCTCAAAAATAAACAAACATTGAAAGAAATTAAATTAACTAAAGATGAGACAACTGAGGCATGAGGGCAACCAGTTTCTTGCAATTTTACACAGCAAAAGAGCAGGATTCAAACTGTCTTCAGCGGGAACCGAATCTCTCCATACTGTTGACCTTTCAAAAGTGGATTCACCGTTCCACGTACTTCCGGGACCTGGTAAAAGAAATACATTTCCGTTCGGTCTTACTGTCCTCATTTCTTGTAAACACAGAGAAGTGGCAGTCCACATGGATCTTGGACAAGTGCACTGTGGCCTCCCTTTTATTTTTTTTTTTATTTTAAAACATTAACATTTATTAAGGAATACCATATAGAAGAATTTATTTTATTTTATTTTATTTTTTTCAATTATGAAATTTATTGTCAAATTGGTTTCCACTATACCAGTGCTCATCCCAAAGGTGCCTCACTCAATACACCCATCCCACCACCCTCCTCACCCCCATCAGCCTCGTTGTTTCTCCCTCGTTTTTTAACAGAATGCTTTCCCTGCTTTGGCTCTCTCTCCCTTAGCTCTCTCTTCCCCATGGGTTTCTGTTAAGTTCTCAGGATCCACACACAAAGTGAAAACATGTAATCTCTGTCTTTCTCTGTATGGCCCCATTTCCTTAGCATCACCTCCTCAGTTCCATCACGTTGCTACAAAGGCCTCCATTTAAAGAAGTGGCAGGCTCTGGGTTGAATCAGCTCCTGAGCCTGGTGCAGGCTACCCACCTCTGAGCTTTGGTGCAGGCGTCTCTCCAAGAGCCTGGGGACAGAAGGCTGAACAGATTTGGCTCAGCTTCGGCTGGTGACGGGCAGGCGACTCTGGATCTCAGGACCCTACAAGGATCGAGCCCCATCGGGCTCCGGTCTTTGTTAGCTGCATAGATATAACTTAGTCTGCATTTCCAAGCTCTCCCCCCTGCCCTTCCCCACTGCATGCACACACCCAGCCACCGCGCTACCCGCAGGCGTCTTTCTCTCCCTCTCTCTCTCCCTTTAAAATAAATAAAATGGGGGTGAAATATCTTCTGACTCTACAGGGTGAATGGTCGGCCCTGTCCTCCATGCTGGCTGTAGAAAGCCCTTGTATGTAGCATAACAAGCCAATCATCTGTGTCAGCCACTGCTGTTTTTTTGTTGATTCTGGGACTGAAGGAGAATCACCAGGGGTGGGAGGAGTGGGAACAGGGGGAGTATAATGGCTGTCCCAGGAAGGAAAGAAACCCCTTCCCTGTCACCAAGCGCCCTGAGCTGTCTCGGTGTCCACAGTTCAAGTCCTTCCTCCAGCTCCCTGCAGTGTGAGCTTCTCCGATCCTGAGAAATTTTATGACTCAATGATGTACCACCCCATGCACTGCCCTCAACCTTCCTGAGTGTACCTACAATGTGATGGTCTACACTGGCTACGGTGGCTTCAGGTAAGCAGCCCAGGAAGGAAGCCCTGCCATGCCACCTACCCCACCCCACTTGGCCCGGACAAAGAGAGCTTGAGGAGGGCAGATCTGAGCCAGACTTGCTGGGATCCCAGCCTTGGTGAGGTCCTCGGAACCATGACAGCCACACAAGGAGGGAACTGCATGTTTGATGATAGTGTGAGGCATTACTCACCCAGGAGGGGAGATATCTGCCCCTCAACACCCACACACACACTCACACACACACACACACACACACACACACACACACAGGGGAGCCCCACCTGGGTCATGCGATTGGTAAAACGTTTGCCTAGAAACTAACAATGGAAAAGCAAAGTGACTTAGGGCTCAAACATCTGGGTGTAAGTCCCAGCTCTGCCAATGAAAAGCTGTGTGGCTTTGGGCAAGGGACTTTACATCTCTGAGCCTCAGTCTCCCCATCAGTAAAATAGAGATGATAACACCACCGCTTCACAGATTTTCGGGGCGACAGAACCAGGACAGTGCTCGGTGCCCAGTGGGCAGTCAGCCAGAGCCTAGCGCAGCGCACGTTACCTGTGATCCTCGCCCTAGTTCCTGGCCTTCCCCAAATGACGCCCCCCACCCCATCTTTAGAAGCCCCTTTTAAAAACTGGAACAAGGAGGGGGTGCCTGGGAGCGAGAACTGTCCAGTTCACTGCCCCCCAGGAGAGGAGGGGGGTGTGGTTGGGAAAGAAAGCTGGTCCCACGTGGTGGCAGACCCTTCCAGGCCAAAGTGGGAGGTCCCGACGTGTGCCTTTTTCTAACGGACAGTAAGGAGCCATTGATAGTTTCGGAACTGGGTTGGCTGTGATCTAACCAGAACTTTACTTGAGGGAGGTTTTTCTGACTTGCATGGGAAGGACAGAAAGTAAGCCCCTCAGCAGCAGGACCTGTGGTCTTGGCCCCCAGAGCTTAGCAGAGTGTGTGGCATGCAGTAGGTAATTAATAAATGTTCATGGACTTAAAATAAACCGGAGGATGGTTGCCGTCCATCTGAATCTGGTACTCGGCGGACCCTCTCCTTTTACTCTGTGTCTAATGCTGGATTACCAGGCACAGGATGCCTTCACGGAGCACCTGCTGTATACCCATCACAGCTGTTTACCCCGAGGGATACGGTGGTGCGGTGGTATGCAAACTGCTGCAGCACCTGCCCTTAAGGAGTACGTTTGTGGTGGAGACAGGCGCACTTAGAAGACATTAGGCTGCCATTTGAAGAGGTCTCTAGTGGGAATTTCTAGGGGATGTTGTTGAGTCACACTAGAGGGATGGGCCAGGCTCCCTGGCAGTCAGGGAAGGTCTCACAGAGAAGGGCAATTTTAGTGGGGCTTTGGCGAATGAGTAGGAGTTCATCAAAGAGGGAACAAGAATAAGGTGTGTGATCTGAAAGGGACAGGGCTTGTGGGCGAGGCCTGCCCTGCTCACCTGAGGGGCAGAGGGGTTGGGATCCCAGCGTAAAGGAGAGGCACAAAAATCCAGAGCGGGCACTGGGAGACGACCGAAGACCGCACCTACCCCCACTCCCACTACTTCCTTCTCTTCCAAGCCTGGAGAGCGGACTTGGAAAATCCAGTGTGCAGTTCTTTGTGGAAGTTCTGGAGTTAGAGCCATCATTTTATGGCATAAGAGAGCGGCCCTGAGAATGCCCTAGAAATGAGCCCCTCCCTCCGTCACTTACCAGTTGGTGCAGAAAGGGGAAGAATGAATTCGATCTACATAAGTATTTATCGAACACCTGCTCTGTGCTATGTTCCAGGCACTGGGGCCACTGAGCAAATGGAAAAAAATGCCTGCCTTTGTGGGGATCTTACATTCTGGTGGAATGCCTTATTCTGTCTCCCTGGAGATGGGGCTTCAGGCACAAGCTGATCAAGCCCTTGCCCTCCCCCTCCCACCATCTCCAGGAGAACTTCCCTCAGCTGCCAGCCTGCAGTAACCTCTCTCTTGAGACTGATCCATGGAGCCTTCCAGATCTCTGCAGTGCCTCTGCCCTGCAGCTTGGGTTTACTCTGGTCCCTCAGCCTTTGGGGAGATTCGGGGGGCCTAGATGTTTCCAGGGGCCCCAAATGTTTCCAGGGCTGGGGCTTGGGGCCCGTCTGTCCCCTTGACTAGGGGCTGGCCGAGGGCTGCGGTGTTGGCATCGGCTGGGGTCGGTTGGGAGTGCTACATTGGTAGTGGGTTTCTCTCTGTCCCTGCCTGTGCCCAGGTGAAGAGTGTGAACCTGTCTGACGGGGAGCTGCTCTCCATCCGCGGGGTGGACGGTCCCACCCTGACTGTCCTAGCCAACCAGACTCTCCTGGTAGAGGGGCAGGTCATTCGAAGCCCCACCAACACCATCTCTGTCTACTTCCGGACCTTCCAGGACGACGTCTTCGGGAACTTTCAACTGCACTACCAGGGTAAGCTCACAGCAAGGCCAGTGGGGTGTAGCTGTTTGCCTCAGTTTCCCTGTGGAACCAAGAATTCTCACGTGCCCGGGGTCCCTCTGGCAGTTCCGTAAAACCTCTGAACCCCCACTCAGAAGAAGCACAAAATAAAACAAATAAAAACAATTAAAAAAAAAAAAGGACACCAGTCATCTTGAATTACAGTTGTCAAAATATTGTTTTAATCTGTGCTATCTTAATGTTCGTGCTTCTTTATTACCACATTAAATAATAATCCCCCTTGGCAGTTCTGATAATTACTGTGATTTCAAAGTACTGAGGCACATAAGAGATATGTCAAGATATCGATCAAGATCTGAAAATACCCGCGATTTCTCTCGGTGACGAAGTCACAGTTTCCGCAAATACGTCAGTTTGTCGCCGCCGTTCGCGGTTGAAGGCAACACCACGGTTCGGTTCAAGGTTAATGAAAACAAGCAAAGCCCCTTTGTTTCCCATTTACGTTCCTGGCTCCTGCATGTGTCTGATAAATGAACCCCACGCAAGTCGCAAGTCGGTGGGCTTCTGGTAACCAGCCTCAACCCCTGGGGGGTCCTGCTGTCTCTTTTCTGTGACAATGTTGCTTTCTTTCCTTTTTGCCTGTTTCTGAGACTCCTCTCTTCCCCCTTCCTGCCTCCTTCCTTCTCTTTCCCTCCCTCTCTCTTGCCTCTTTTATTTGTCTCCCTCCATTCTCCCTTCCTTCTGGGTCTCTCTCTATCTCTCCCTATCCCATTCCCCCACGTCCTGAGCCCTGCCCATGACCTCCGATTACTTCCCTTAGCCAGAAGCTCCCACTGGGTAACTTCCCAGATATCCGCTCGGGAAAGTAGAGTCTGGATACTGGGCACCATCCGCGGTGACGTCAGATGGACCAGACATCTGGAGAAACGGTTCACGTCGAACTTTTCCCCTGGATGTTTCTGAAACAGGTGGACGGGTGTGCATGACCACATTCCAGTGTTGAGGCTACACGCTGTGGTCTTTGTTCATGGCACAATATGGGGAGAAAAACAGCTCGTGGGGCCCTCGAGTTGGATGCGATCCCCCCAGAGGAGTTCTGGGACTACGGATATCTTATGCAGCAGGGGTGGTCAGACCACAGTCCGGGGAGGGGCTGCGATGGGTTTCACACCCTCTTAGGAAATTCGAGGAGCTCAGCATGGCCACATAGAACCTTCTGCCGCTCCCAGCCAGACACTGGGTCAAGGAGGCTCTTCCTCAGAGTTGCCTGTTTAATCCGTACGACCGCCATGAGGCAGGGACCGTCGTCAACTCCACTGGAGAGAGGAGGGGAGCCAAGTTCAGGTCATTGTGTCCCTTTCTCCAAGTCACGTAGTGCCTAAGTGATGGAGGAAGAACTTACACTCACACTGGTCTCCTCCAAAGCCCAACCCTGTACGTGGCCAGGACAGTTATTTTCTAAATTTTTTTTTTAACGTTTACTTATTTTTGGGACAGAGAGAGACAGAGAATGAACCGGGGAGGGGCAGAGAGAGAGGGAGACACAGAATCGGAAGCAGGCCCCAGGCTCTGAGCCATCAGCCCAGAGCCCGACGCGGGGCTCGAACTCACGGACCGCGAGATCGTGACCTGAGCTGAAGTCGGACGCTCAACCGACTGAGCCACCCAGGCGCCCCGAGGACAGTTATTTTCAAGCTGTCGCACCCTTCGGCATTTCCTGAGGGGCGGCTCGTTCTAATTCGGGTCCAGGACTCTGCATGTTTAACAAATGCCGAAGATGTTCGTGCTGGCAGGACTACCCTACCTGGCTCATTCTGCCCCTGCTCTGCCCAAGCAGGTGGCCATTCTGTGTCCACGTGGAGAGGGGCTCAGATGACGTGGGAACTCATTTTTCACCCCAAACCTGTGATCTCGGCCGGGGGGGGGGGTGCGGGGGGCAGGGTGGGGACCTTGCAGCCTAGAAAAAGTGCCAGTCTGGCAGTCTCCGCATCCACGGGAGTCACAAAAACACCCCCCCAGGGGGCCTCATCTTTTCTCCTCAGCTCAAACTGGCTCCCGGGAGGTGGGTCACATGCATCATCTCTCCCCCTCTGAGAGTTGAGTGTCTGCCTTTGCGTTTCTTCACAGCCTTCATGCTGAGCTGCAGTTTTCCTCGCCGGCCCGACTATGGGGATGTCACAGTGATGGACCTGCATTCGGGTGGGGTGGCCCACTTCCACTGCCACCTGGGTTACGAGCTCCAGGGGGCCAAGACGCTGACTTGCATTAATGCCTCCAAGCCCCACTGGAGCAGCCAGGAGCCCATCTGTTCAGGTACACTCCAGCCTCGGCGGCCCAGACACCAGTAGTCCACTCAGAGGAGAGGCCAACCCCAGGGCATTAGACCGACCTCAGGGATAGGCGCTCAGCCCCGGGCAAAGAGGCTGCTCCCAGGACAGACGACCGATGCCATTCAAATCTTTAGTTCGTAGGGGAGAAAAGACACAGAACCTAAAACTCACCATTAGTGACGTTTAGCACACCTACAGCGTCACGCCACGGTTACCACTGTGCAGTTCCAGATCGCCTTCAACAGCCCCAAAGGAAACCTCGTAGCCATTTGGGCTCACTTTCCATTTCCCCCTCCCCCTTCCGCCCTTGGCATCCACCATCATGCTTTCTGTTATCTGCGGATCTGCTTATTCTGGACATTCTGTGTAAATGGGGTCACCCGGCATATGTGGTCTTTGGCAGCTGGCTTCGGGATCACGTTTTCAAGGTTCACCCACGCCACAGCCTGGGGAGCACTTGATTCTTTTCTGTGGCTGTGTAATATGCCATCGTGTGGCTGTGCCCCCGTTTTATGTGTTTATTCCCTGGTGGACACCTGAGTCTCTCCCACTTTGTGGCAGTTATGAATAATGCTTCTGTGAGCATCTGTGTGCAAGTTTCTGTGTACAAGTTTTTGTACAAGTTTATTTTCTTTCTTTTTTTTTTTTTTTTTTTTTTTTTTTTTTTTTTAATTTTTTTTTTTTTCAATGTTTATTTATTTTTGGGACAGAGAGAGACAGAGCATGAACGGGGGAGGGGCAGAGAGAGAGGGAGACACAGAATCGGAAACAGGCTCCAGGCTCTGAGCCATCAGCCCAGAGCCTGACGCGGGGCTCGAACTCACGGACCGCGAGATCGTGACCTGGCTGAAGTCGGACGCTTAACCGACTGCGCCACCCAGGCGCCCCTTCTTTCTTTATTTTAAAAGGTTTCTCTGTTTTTTTATGTCCGCATTTCCTTTTATTCTTTTTTTAACTCGTTTTATTTTTTATTTTTTTTAATTTGCATCCAAATTAGTTAGCATATAGTGCAACAATGATTTCAGGAGTAGATTCCTTAGTGCCCCTTACGCATTTACTTTTGAGAGCGAGAGAAAGAGAGAGAGAGCAGAGGAGGGGCAGAGAGAGAGGGAGAGAGAGAATCCCAAGCAGCCTCTGCACGGTCAGCACAGAGCCCGACACAGGGCTTGAACTCATGAACCGCGAGATCATGTCCTGGGTCAGACGCTTAACTGACTGAGCCACCCAGTTGCCCCTGGAGGACGTATGTTTTCATTTCTCTTGGGTCGATACCCAGGAGTGGCATCACTGGGTCATATGGTAATTCTGTGTTTAACTTTTTAAAGAGTTGTCAAGCTATTTTCCACAGAGGCTGCAGCGTTTGACCTTCCCACCAGCTGCGTAAAGTACCAATTTCTGCACGTCCTCACCAGCTCTTATTATTGTACACACTTTCTTTTTATGCCTTTAGCCATCCTGGTGCATGTGAAGCTCTCTCTCTCGTGGTGGTTTTGATCTGCATTTCCCTGATGGCTAATCATATTGAGCAGCTTTTCCAATGTGCTTCTTGGCCTTTTGTAGATCTTCTCTTTTTTTCAATGTTTATATATATATATATATTTATTTATTTATTTTGAGAGAAAAAGAGAGAGAGAAAGAGAGAGAGAATAAGCAGGGCTCAATCCCCCCACCGTGGGATCATGACCTGAGCCCAAGAGTCAGAAATCAAGAGTCAGAGCTCAAACGACAGAGCCACCCAGGCGCCCCCCTTTGTAGATCGTCTAAGTGAAGTATCTATTCAGGTCCTTTGCCCGTTGTTTTTTAAAATTTTGTTACTTGTCTTTTTATTGTTGGGTCGTAACAGTACTTTGTATATTCTGGATATTAGATCCTTATCAGGTATATGATGTTCAGATATCTTCTCCTGCTCTGTGGGTTGTTTGTCACGTCTTGATAGTGTCCTTTGATGCAGAAAACATTTTCATTTTGACAAAGTGTCAAAAAAATGATCAATTTTTCTTTTGTCCCTGTGCTTTTGGTGTGCCTGCAGCCACATTTTGAACCCAGTCGATAGATACTGAGAAACTGCCAGGGATGCTGTAAATGTTCACAGCAATCTTGCATGATGAGAGCCATTACCTTCACTTTACAGATGAGGAAACAGAGGCTCACGGAGGTGAAGTCACTCACCCAAAGCCGCCAGACAGAAATTGAAATGAGTCCAGAACCCTTCTCTCCTGAGCTGTGTTTCTCAAAGTGTGGTCTACAGACCAGCAAGATTATTGCAGATGCATAATCCTGGGCCCCCTATGAGACTACTGGATCATAATCTACATTTTAGCATGCCCTTGTGTGATTCATGTGCACATGATAGACTGACAAGCACTGGGCTATGCCACACTGTCCCTGCACCCGTGGTCATAGTCTTGACCATCCTCAACTGTCAAGAGAGCAAAACTCTGTCAGATTCTCAAAAGTTACAACGGTGGTCAGGACAGTATAGGTTGCCCGTAAGAACTGAGCACCCAGAGCACTAACCATGTACAAAGAGAATCCTGGGAATAATAATAAATTATTCCTTCTCTCCAGGCATTCAGAGTCCATGGAATCCAAAAAGCAAATGAGACCTGATGACAAATTCTGAGCTTTGATTGTTGCAATATTGTTCCCCCAAGGCCCTTCAGAATTTCTCTTCTCTTCTCTTGTTTTTAACAGAGGGGAAAAAAATCCAAACCATAGGGCCATTGCCCTCAGTGCGTCTCTCGCGTTAATTTTTATCTATGTGTGAAATCAGAGAGGAATTAAGCCTCATTTTGTGCTAAGAAAGATGGATGGGGAGCCACGGCTGGGAAATTGAAGGCAAACAGAGCCATCAGTTGGCTTAATAAGGCAAGGAACGGGAGCAGAGAGGCAGCAGATGAGCGGCAGCTTGGGGAGGACAGATGGCCAGTGCCCCCACCAGGGACAGTGTTCTCCATCTCGCCAGCCCCTGAGCCATAGGACAATAGAACTGGCTACATTTTGAGTACCTACTCTGTGCCAGGCATGGCGCCAAGACCCGTATTATGCATCGGTTCACCGATTTCTCACCCCAGTCCTGGAAGCAGGCTGGAATTCTTATCACCATTTTATAGTGAACTCAAGGTTCAGAACTCTCTAGATCCACAGCAGGTAAGTGGCACAGGCAGGGTTTCAACCTCCGCTTTAGGACAGAAGGACAGGCGAAAGACAGACACACACACACACACACACACACACACACACACACACACACGCACCTCTGTCCGTGGTGCTGAAACAAGGAGGGGGCGCTTCTTGGCAATGTCTTCGCTGTAAATCCGCAGAATCCAGAGCATAGGAGAAAGTGATCTACCTTTTTCTCCCGCTGCAAGCCCTTTATTAGTCATGCAGTCACTCAACAAACCCTTAATGAGACCCAAGTATCTCCTAAAAATAAGACTCAGACTATTTCCTTGCATTCATGCATCTCCCTCTGGTGCACAAATCACTTTTTAAATATTTCTTTATTAGATTTTTATGATAAAAGTAATATATGTTGTGGTTTTAAAAAAAGTCAAGAAATCCAAGTGTCAAGATAGAAGCAAATCACTTTTATATTTATGGTCTCAATAGATTTTTGCAAATAGCTCATTGAAACAGGTATGGAAGACCATTTTGTAACTTGTTTTTTTCCCCACTGAAAATTTTGAGTGCATTTTTCCATATTCTCAAGCATTCTTTAAGGGTATGATTTTTAATAACGTGTGAATGGGACGCATTTATTTCCCCAAATGGCTGTGAGTGGACATGCGTGTTGTTTCTCGTTTTTCGCTCTTAGAAACACTTCAGCAGTGAACACCTTTATTCATAAATCTTGGGGGAAATCTCTCAATCTCCTTTTTAGCACAAACTCCCAGAACTTTAATGAGTCGGTCAGTTTGGGAACACGCTTTCTGAATTTTTCTCCAAATTGCTCTCCTGAAAGGCCGGAGTCATTTGCATCCTAACCGGTGATGAGGGAGAGGGCCCATTTCCCACCACCTGTCCCATCGGTGAGCGATGGCCGCTTTTTGTCTTGCCCAATCAGGCAGATGGAAACAGAATAGAATCTAGAATTGCCTTTCTTTTATTGTGGGTGAGGCTGCATTTTTAGTGCCTACTAAATACTAAAAGTATATTTCTTCCTTTGTGAATGGCCTGTTTGTGTCCTTGGTACCGTCTTCTCAGAAAGAATCAGGGCACAGCCAGTGCCGTGGAGGAACCCTTAAATCACAGTTGGTCCCTGTCATGGAACGCCAAGGGGGTGTTTCCAGTCGTGAAATGAGGTCTCCTATCGAACTGGATGAACCTTGTCCAAGGGGAGAGGACTTTTACAGTGTGTCCCTCTTCCCATCCCATTTTCTCCTGCTAAGGGCTAGGGGTGGGGAGATCTCTCTCTCTCTCTCTCTCTCTCTGCTTTCCTCTCATGACCACCCACCCCATTCTCTGCCCCCAGCCCCTTGCGGAGGGGCTGTGCACAACGCCACCATTGGCCGCGTCCTCTCCCCAAGTTACCCTGGAAACGCCAACGGGAGCCAGCTCTGCGTGTGGACAATCAAAGCTCCAGAGGGCCAGAAGCTGCATCTGCATTTTGAAAGACTGTCGTTGCATGAGAAGGACAGGTGAGCTTCTGAGGGTTCCCAGCCTCACTCCTTCCCAGAGTGTCGGAATGTGACTAAGGATCTGGAGTCTTGCAATGGCTTCTGGAGGTTGAGAAAGGAAAGCCTGGGGAGGTTGGCAAGGATGTTAGACACCATCGGCTTCAATCTCCTTTCACAGGTCGGGAAACTCGGGCATGGAGAGGGAAAGGGACTCGCCCCAGGTCATACAGCAGGGAAAGGGAAGAAGCAGGAACGGAATCCAGATTCCCCCATGCTGCACTGACCCAGTCTGTCTCCTGCATGTCCCTTTTTGCAGTTAACAAAGAGGGAGTATTCACTGAGCACTTGCTCTGTGCCCAGTCACATACTAGGCTCTATGGAGAACAGGAGAGAAGTAGCAAAACCTGGTTTCCGATTGGATAGGAAATTGACGTGGGAAAAACTGTGCTTGTACACGTGAAGGAATTTGGGAGAAGTTTCAGGGCAGTATCTAAGCAAGAGCAGGTCTGTAGACTCTAAGTGATATGCATAGGATCCGGAATCTTAGAACTTTAATATTCTATGGTTTTGTGTTAGAATCTTCTTTTTTACTTTAACTTTTTTAACGTTTTTATTTATTATTGAGAGAGAGCATGAGCATGGGAGGGGCAGAGAGAGGGGGAGACACAGAATTCGAAGCAGGCTTCAGGCTCTGAGACATCAGCACAGAGCCCGACGCGGGGCTCAAACCCACAAACCGCGAGATCATGACCTGAGCCGAAGTCAGACGCTTTACCGACTGAGCCACCCAGGCGCCCCTAGCGTATTCTTGAATGTTCCAGAAAACGAGGACCAGAGCTGCTTAGACTTGCTGTCTTAGGTCGTGTTCCCTTGGAAACAGACATGGAGACAAGGATGTTAGGGAAAGTAGCTCATTTGGGAGCTAATCTTGGAAAGCACTGGCAGAGGCATAGGGCAGCGGGCAGGACAGGAAAGGAGTCAACACGGTGCGTGTTAATGAGCAGGTGCCTCTGCAGGGGCCATGGGGGTTCTATCTGCTGGGGGCCTCTGCAAAACCGTATGGAGCCTGGTCCTTTCGGAAAGGCGAGGGAGCTGAGGTACTGACCCACCACCACCACCCCCCCTCCAGCTATCACTGCATGAGGGATGCTTCTGGACACTCTAACTCCCCAGCGTTGCCAGCCACCCTTTGAGCTGGTTGAGCTGACAGATTCTCAGAGATCTGGGGCAGGAAGCCAGCCCCCTCCTCATCCCAAACACAGTGGACATGTGGCAAAGTGAGCAAATTGTCGCTTCGACATTCATGCATTTTGGTAACATTAGAAATTCATCTGGGCGACATAAAGTAAACCTTTTTTATGAGTCACAGTAAAAAAAAAAAAAAAAAAACTCAAAAGATTTAAAATGCCTCTTTATGACTCCATAAAAGAAATTGATCTAATTTGTATACTATTTCCCTCCTTATTTTTGCATAATTTCTTTAAAAATACCAGGACTAGCAAGGAGCCGAGTGTCAAATGACTTTAATAACAGCAAAAATGAATGCCAGCATTTTGCCTAACACGTTTTATTTTTCAGGGCACTCGATCCTGTCATATTCTCAATGCCCACCTGTAAGATAGGTGGGAGAGACGTTACGATTCCTCCCTTCCCAACTGTGGAAACTGAGGCCCAAGATGTGCTGAGACTTATGTCAACCCAATCGCTGGGGAGTTGGGAAGTGAGAATCAGGAATTATAAATCAGTTGATTTATAATCGAATGCTTATAAATTTGACCCGTGTGCCCGCTTTGTGCTCGGCATGTTATGCACAAGGCCTTTAATGTCCACACTCTGAGGTAGGCTCAGAGTGTGAAGTAGGCACCCGTTTTACAGATGAAGAAACAGAGGCTCGGAGCTGGGAAGTGTCCCTGTCCAAAGTCACACGGCTCAGAAGTTACAGAGTTGAGACTCTGGTTGTCTGACTACCACTCTTTCAGTGCATTAGTCTCTACTCCTCAATTAGTCATAATAATTGGTATCAGTTAATTAGTCTGGTTCATAACATCACACACAGCACTTTTCCTATAACCTCAGGATCCACCCGTGAGTCTAGAGTAAGCATCCTACAGAAAAGGAAGCAGGTTCCCTAAGGCAGAGCAGCTCGACCGGGCAAGTCAGGGGCAGAGTCGGGATCTGGGTCTGGGAGCGAGGCACACGCCTCCCACTGCTGCTGTGGGTCAGTGATCTTCCTGTCCTTCCCCCTGCTGTCAGGATGATGGTCTACAGTGGCTTGATCAACAAGTCAGCTCTTCTCTATGACTCCCTCCAAACCGAGAGCGTCCCCTTTGAGGGTCTGCTGAGTGAGGGCAACAGCATCCGCATTGAGTTCACGTCCGACCAGGCACGGGCAGCCTCGGCCTTCAACATCCGGTTCGAGGGTGAGAGTCTCCGGGGGGCCTCCCCCATCCCGGGTGATGGTGTGTGAGTGGAGGAAGTGTGGCAGAGCTGGGCTGGGTCCTGGGAGCTAGAAATCTGACCTGCTAAGGCCGAGGGCGACCCAGAGGCCAGACTGACCTTTTGACTTTCAAAGGCAGAGCCTGCAGGGTTAAGAGGGCAGAAGTTTGTATTCCCATTTTAGAGATGAAAATAATGAGGTCGCCAAAAGAGAAGTGAATGCTCCAAGGCAGGTCAGCGGGTCAGCTGGAATCGGAAAGTGGGGTCCGGTGCTCATTTTCCTTGGAGCTTGTCTAAACAGCAGGAGGGGACCCATCTTCTGAGATCCAGCTCTCCGGGGAGCCCCTGCCTCATCTGAGCTGCTGCCCCTCTTTTGTATCCCCACCCCAGCCTTTGAGAAAGGCCACTGTTATGAGCCCTACATTCAGAATGGGAATTTCACCACATCCGACCCGACCTATAACATCGGCACCATAGTGGAGTTCACCTGCGATCCCGGCCACTCGCTGGAGCAGGGTCCGGCCATTATCGAGTGCATCAATGTGCGGGACCCGTACTGGAACGACACAGAGCCCCTATGCAGAGGTGAGTGGCCCCACCGTCCTCCTCCCAGGGTGCCTCAGGGACCTGGACCCCCTCAGATGAAAAGGTCAAGGCCCCGGTTTAGAAGTATGTCACCAATTTACATACCAATTTAGCATTAAAACCCTTTCCGGGGCTCACCATCCTTTGGGTCAAATTTGCTGCTGGTCCCTGAGAAAATTCCAAGCTTGATAAATTTTTATTTTATTTTATTTTTTTTAATTTTTTTTTCAATGTTTATTTATTTTTGGGACAGAGAGACAGAGCATGAACGGGGGAGGGGCAGAGAAAGAGGGAGACACAAAATCGGAAACACGCTCCAAGCTCTGAGCCATCAGCCCAGAGCCTGACGCGGGGCTCGAACTCACAGACCGCGAGATCGTGACCTGGCTGAAGTCAGACGCTTAACCGACTGCGCCACCCAGGCGCCCCAAGCTTGATAAATTTTTAAAGGTGCCCCTTCCTACAAGCACAGACCCCATAGTGCATAGCTCAGTGAAAAGATCTCTGCGTGGATTTCAGCTCCTCTGTACCCCCTTGCTATGTACTTTTGTGCAGTGCACAACCCACCCAACCACACACGGCAGCCCTGAGTTCAATTAATAATAATGATGCTATTGATAATAGTTGCCAAGGGCTGCATTTTCTCATTTAATCCTCACTACAATCCTGTGAGGCACATAATATTGACCCCATTTACAGCTGAGGAACCCAAAGCCACGAGGAACCAGACCGTTCCTAAGAACAGACTGAGGGTAACTGGTCGAGGTAGAAATGGCTCTTGGGTCTCCTTTTTTCTCAGAGACCTGTGCTCTGAGCCCCTCTGGACGGTGTGGGCTGGGTCGAACCCTCCTCTCCACGAGCTCCCGGGGCCCTGCCCTGCCTCTTTCCCCACATGCCAGGCCGCGGAGCCACCTCAACCCTGGATGCATGTGCAGCATGTGGTGGAAGGAAGAGAGCCCTATGCTCCTGGCAGCCGCCGCCTGGATGGCGGCTGGCGTGAAGTCACGGCTTCGTCGTGGTGAGGGATTGATCCCTGTATTAAATGCGCTGGCTTAACAGAGCGGAATTTATTGGTGCTTTGGCCTCTGCCACGTTGAGAACTTTCCAAAGCGGTCAACAGAGTGGAATTTAAAGAGCCAGGCGCCAGGGGCTGTGCTGCATTCGCCCCCATGAGCTCAATCAGTTAAGCTTCAGGATAAGCCGACGGAGTCAGGGCTGGCCTTACTGCAGCTGTGCGGAGGAAGGGACCTGAGACTCCAAAACGGCGCATGCCTGGTCACGGAGTCTGTTGGGGGCAGAGATTCGAACCCAGGTCCACCTGAATGGAATGAGGCATCCGTTAGCCGCTACTCACTCTGCACAAGAATAGAGCTGTTGGGGATTCTCCAGAACAGGGAGCTCTGTCCTTGATCCTGAGAGAGCTATAGGGCCCGTAGCCCCAACCCTACCAACCCTCAGCGGAAGGAGGCAGGCAGCCGGCCCCAACTTAATCATCCCGCACACGCGCACAGACCGTCTGAGGCTCAGGCCCCTGTTCACGGTGCGCAGCGAGCCGTGACTGTCGGGCTCCAGAGCCCATGCGCTTAACCGCTACGATCTTGGCTTCCTTGTGAACCAAGCGTGTCTGTCTCTTGTCTGTCCGTCTCTGTCCCCTACAGCTACGTGTGGCGGGGAGCTCTCTGCCGCGGCCGGGGTGGTGCTGTCCCCGAACTGGCCAGAGCCGTACGTGGAAGGTGAAGATTGTATCTGGAAGATTCACGTGGGGGAAGAGAAACGGATCTTCTTAGATATCCAGTTGTGAGTGTTTATGGTGGGGGACCAACTGCCCCTGCTTTGTTCTTTCAGCCATCGCTAGTGAAGCAGCTACTATGTGTCAGGGGCCGTGCGAAGAACTGGGGTCCCAGTGGCAGGAGAAACAACATCATAAACACACAGAGTCCCTAGCCTCCAGACACTGGGTCTACTAAGGAAGCAGGCATGAAATGGGGCAATGCACCAATAATCACATCCCGTAACTTTAGTGAGCGATGTTCTAGGTGGGGATTTGATATAAAGGGGGAGGTCAGAAAAGCCTTCCCTGAGGATCTGATCTGATACTAAAGCTCAGAACTAACGGACGAGCCGGAATACATGTATCTGAAAGGGACAGAACATGCAAAGGCCCTGTGGCGAGAAAAAGCCTGTGAACTGCCTGCGTAGTCAGGAGGAGGGGGGAGGTTTAACAGGTACTCTGCCTACGGTAGCAGTTCATTTTCTTCACCTGTCTCTCTCAACTAGAACGGAAGGTCCTCGTAGTGAGGGCTTGCTCTCATTTAGCTCTGCTCCGGGGTCTAGCACCGAGCCTGACACATAGTGAGGCGTGCAGGAGATCACTGCTGAGTGAAGAAACACTGTAATGAATGGAGAGTTACCTGGCTGTGCGGCTGTTGGCTGTACTCCGTGGGGGCGCCTAGTAGAGGCTCCATCTAGGGCTTGCCCCCTCCTGAACTCCCCAGGGCTGGGGAGAAGCAGACAGAGACACATGGTGGTGTTTGGAGAAGCAGAAGAAGGGGCTGCCCGGCAGGCCCAGACACCGTGGCTTGGACAGTGGAGAGCAGGGCGGGGAGTGCCAAGCTCTGAAGAGCCTTTCTGGAGGCAGCCTGGGCCTCAGGGGGTCAGCGCTCCCCTCAAGCCTGAAGCCAGAACCCAGTCGGCTGGGAAGCATGACTCAGGGCCTGCCGTGCCGTGCAGAGGAGGCTGGCAAGGGGGAAGTCGTTTGCAAAATTATGAGTGACCGTCTTTTGAAGCTGTCCCTCAGAGGCTGCCCCAGAACCTTCTATCCCAGTTGAATCAAAGAGGCACAGACCTCGCACAGGTGCCCCTTGCGGACTTCGGGCCAGGCCAACCTGGGTCAGAATCCCATCCCCTTCGCTCCCCCACGGTTTGACCTCGGGCTTCTCCCCGGCTTTGGCGCTTCTCATCTGGTACGAGGGCCTTGGAACATCGGTGTCCCACGGCTGCCGGAGGCAGCTTGTGAACACCTCTTGCCCATCCTTGCCGTCTCTCACTCCTGTTCCCACCTCCCTGACTTCCAGAGTCTGGTGTAAGTGCTCATTCATGCAAGACCTCGTTCTCGAGGGTCTGCCATGAGCCAGGCCCTGTTGTAGGCTCCAGAAAGGCTCTGACCGTTGCCCCTTGGGCAGTCAAGTTTATATTGGAGAAGAGCAGGTTGGATTGTCTCTATTAACTCTGGGCGGGGGTGGGGACATACGTGCGCGCCTGCCGTGTACGAGCCGTGGATATTGGGAAGGGGTTGGTTGTGGAGGGGCGCCCGGGTGGCTCAGTCGGTTGAGCGTCTGTCTCTTGATTTCGGCTCAGGTCATGATCTCACGGTTTGTGAGTTCGAGCCCCACGTCGAGCTCTGCGCTGGGAGTCTGCTTGGGATTCTTTCTCTCCGTCTTTCTCTGCCCTTCCCCCATTTGAGGTCTCTGTCTCTCAAAATTAAAAAAAATAAGAAACATTGGGGCACCTGGGTGGCTCAGTTGGTTGAGCGTCCGACTTCGGCTCAGGTCATGGTCTCGCAGTTCGTGAGTCTGAGCCCCGTGTCAGGCTCTGTGCTAACAAATAGCTCAGAGCCTGGAGCCTGCTTTGCATTCTGTATCTCTCTCTCTCTCCCCCCTCCCCTGCTCATGCTCTGCCTCTCTCTGTCTCTCAAAAATAAATGGTAAAAAAAAATTTTTTAAGTAAACATTAAACATAAAATAAAATGAAATAGGTAGGGGTTATGGAAAGAGTTCAAGGGAGGCCTGGAGTCTTCTTAGCTGACGCTTCACATAGAAAACGCCATTCTAAAGCTGTCTCCTGTGGGAAGCCTTCTGTGGCTCCCTAGTGTCCTCATGGTAAATATGAAGGTGTAGTCCTGGCTTGGGAGCACCCCACCGCCAGAAGTTACTGGCAAAGCACCTCGATCTTCAGCCAGGAGAAGGAGAATCCAACTCCTGATAGCCTGGCTTCTCTTGCAGAAGGTCCCCCCAGCCCCGTACCCCCAGAAATTGTCTGTGCTTCCCGCTTCTGCTGGGCTCAGCGGCCTTCTCCTCACAGTGTGTCCCCAAGACGGGCGGTTTTGCGTCACCAAGAGTGGCCCACATCTCCCCTCGGTGTCACAGGCCTGAATGAGGAAACAGGAAACCGGGAGCCCTTCCTTTCACTCCCTCTAGGCATCAAACATTCAATTAACCTTCAGCTTGACACTAGATGGGGTTTTGTTTCCACTGCAAAGCGCGCAGTGGGGCAGCCGATCCAGGGACCTGAGCAGTTAAAGCAGAAATGGTTCCTCAAAGCCAGGCCACCGCTGGCATTAGCATCAAGAAGGGACCCCTCGCCGGGGGCAGACTTTCTGTCTTCCGGCCAGCCTGGTGGCCCCAGATATCACTGTTAGCCGGGAGAGAGGAGCCCCGTCTTCCTCCTCCGTGCCCTGACAGGGCATCCTGAGCAACCCTGGACCCATCACCAAGCCTCTCTGGGCCTCACATTCCTTCTCTGCAAACCGATGGGTTGCCTCGAGTCAAGAGAATAACGATTCAAACTCCTGCAGGACAGGCGCGTGATTTCTGTTACTGGGGAGTGGGGTCAGTGTGGGACGATAAGGAGGGGAAGGGTCTGTGATGAAGGGGATATAGTACGTCCCCACCTAAAATCATTTAAATTCTATTTTGTAGAATAATGGCCCTTCCCCACTCCCACCCCCCCCCAAAAATAAAACAGTATCTGCTGGCCAGATCCAGATTTGAGGGGCCCCCCAGTTTGTAAGCCTTGGTCTCCATAGTTCTTTCTCATTGCGGTGATTCTCATCAGGGAGCACTTCCTGTTTGTGAGTTTCTTTACACACGTAAATTCGTGTCCTCCCCAGAGTAATCCTATGGGGACAAGACAACTATTCTGTTTAATTCCTATTCCTTGCTTTCTGAGCTGTTCAAGTTGGGTGTCTAAAAGGCCTCCTGAATGAAGGAGTTTAACCCCAAAGTTAAACTCCTGATCTGATTCCCCTTCCCCAAACCTGTTTCACCCCATCTTCCCATGTCGGGAAGGAATCATCCATTCTACCACAAGCTGCTAAGGTCAAAAGGACTGGGAATTTTTCTAGACGAGTAGAACGGGTGCGTGTCCAGCGTCTGGCTTTGTTGGCAGTGGGGTGGGGAGAAACACCCTGATTTATGGCATTTGCCAATTTCCTCCGAGTAACTACTCCCACCATGGCCGTTCCAAGCTACCAAGACAATGCCAGCAGGCTCGCCAGATGCCCGGATGCTTAACGACGGACTCACGTGGGCCAGTAGGAGCTGCCGCTCCAGCATGCGCACTGGGAGTCAGATTCTTCTCTCCCTGTCACACCTTGTACCTGAGTCCCCAGTACATCCTGCTGATTCTACTCGAGAATCAGAATATGCCCAGAGTTCAAGCACCTGTGACACACCCCCCACCACCACCATGGTCCATGTTCTCATGCCAGGATTATTCCAGAGGCATCCTCACTGGTCTCCCTGCTCCTGCTTTTGTCCCCTTTGGGGCTATTTGTAACCCGCTACCTTGAGTGATCCTGTTAAAACCTAAGGCAGGTCCCCACCACGCTCTGCTCAAAAGTCTACAGTAGCTTTACATTTTATCTAGAATAAAAGCCAAGTCCTTACAAAACATCCCATGTGATCTAGCCCTGGCCACGTCTCCTGCTTCATTTCTTCATTTGGCCACACTGGCTTCCTTGTTCTGCAAACTTACCCCAGGGCCTTTGCACTATCTCTTCTCCCCCATACCCTCCCCAGGATGCTCTGCCCTGAATAGCCTGCATAGCTCACGCCCTAGCTTCTTATAGGCCTCTGTTCACAAATCACCTCCTCTGAGATGTCCCCCACACCTTGATCATCTCTGTCATTCTTGACACTCTTACCTTGCTTCACTTTTCTACGTGGGTGGCACTTAGAGCCACCAACACACCACACATTGTCATATTTGTTGAAGTGTTTCATCCCCTCCATCTAGAATGTCACATCCGTGGGAATAGAGGGATTTTTGTTTCTGTTTGATTCCCTGCTGTAACCCCAGTATGTAGATCAATGCCTGGCCCCATAGTAGGTGCTTAATAAATAAGAGTCAATGGAATAAAGACAACTTCTCATGGTCATCCAGCCATGAAGTTTCAGAGCCAGACTTTTAGCCCCAAATTCATGTCCAACTGCCTCTTATGTACAAGAAGGGAGGAAAGTTCAGAACAATATGGAAAGACCATAGAGATATGGCCTCCCTTTGTCAAGAAACCCATATTTATTACGTGACCGGCAATGCTAAGAAATAAAAGTTTGGCTAAAAATGATCACATAAGCATCTGACTCTTGGTTTCAGCTCAGGTCACGATCTCCGGTGTCATGAGTTGGAACCCCGCGTCGGGCTCTGTGCTGACAAGGCAGAGCCTGCTTGGGATTCTCTCCCTCTCCCTCTGTCTGCCCCTCCCCCACTGGGTGCTGTCACTGTCTCTCTCTCTCTCTCTCTCTCAAAA